CCGCGCGTCCAATGATAATGGGCATAAATGTCTGCATCCTGTTGCTGCTTTAATCACCCAAGTGTATGTAAAAGACAGAGATGGCAAAAGACCGCTTATCCTCTCTCACCTGAAAGTATGGATGCCACAGCTGCGATAATGAAGGACACAATGACCCCAGGGCCAGCCATCTCCTTGGCAACAAGCCCCGAGACCACGTACATCCCCGTCCCGACGCAGCTGCCCACACCGAGCGACACCAGATCCACCGTGGACAACACCCGGGCCAGTCTGGTGCCGTGGGAGCTGGTGCCGGACACGGCCGAATCCAGCATGGACTCCACGGGCTTGGTCCTCAGCACGCGCGACGTGAAGGTGTTCCATGCCGAGCCCCACTGTATCCTGCGAGGGTCCAGCTTCCCCGCCAGTCCGCTCATAGCGAGGGCGTGACGTCGAAGGGCGAGAGGCTTACGGGGAAGACTGCGAGACGGTTGTTCTTTGACGCTTCAGTTCAGGTTCTAGAAATTCTCCACAGACGGGCGAAGTTATTCTTCATCCATGTGACGGAAGAGGATTGGATTTTTTTTTACCGCTTTCTGTGGCTTTCTCAGCAGTTTAGTGGAAGGCCTTGTTTGGTTCTACCCACATGATGACAGAGAAAGCTACCTGAAAGACAAGAGAGATCTGTCACTGTGTGAGAGAGGTGCTTATATTTTCACAACACAAGCCTAAAAACTAAGGTACACTTTCACTTTGACCGCATATGATTTGTACCTTAATTAGTGAGCAGCCAAATTAAAAGGCCATTCCCTGTAGCTCTGTTGCCATGGCAGCTAAGATCATCCACGACAACCGCAGTTCATCATTTCCTTGTAATGTTTGTGCCGGGAAGAGAGAGCAGTAGCTGTGATGTTACCGAAGAACTTAGACGGACATGCTTGTGTAATGTTTACTGAGCAGGCCGAGATTAAAATGTTAGTGACGACTCTTAGTGATGTCATTGACAAAAAAAAAAAAAAAACCCAGATTGCTAAAAAAATAAAATAAAATGAAAATGATCACATGCTGATAACTTTTGGTAAAACTGCTCCATTCATTGTTTAATTAAAATTAAACAATGAAAGGAACACACATATGAAAGCAGACATGTGTGAACGTTTAAATGCTGTTAAATCACAAATACAACAAAAAAAGCGAGAGAAAAAATTTACAAAATCAAACTCCAGCCATCTCAAGCCGTTTATTGATACTAAGAGACTAAATGTTTTTTTATTATTATTTTTATCTTATATATATATAAAATCTGAAAAATGTCCCAAATTCAATGTGATTCTAAACAAACAGATAGTTGCACAAGGCCACCGAAATGTTTATGCAGCAAGCAGTAGGACATTATTGACATCGTATCCCATTAAAACTAAGCATTGCTCAGTGACTTTCAGAGGAGCTTTTCTCTTTTTCCATACAATAATGAGCGACTTCAATGTGACTGCCCTTCAAGTAGCAGCATCCGTCTTGACATTACACGTAGCGCTTTGCATGCACACTTTAATTTTATCTTTGCAAGACACATTCTTCTACGTGTTTTCTGTATCCTTGATTTGAGTTTTGATCAACTTTAAGCAGATTAGGAGGGGGGATTCTCTACTAACGCTCTCAGCTTTGCATCTTAGCGACCCATTCAAAGTTACCTTGGGGCTCTTTAATAAAAAAAAAACAAAAAAAAAAAAAAAAAAAAAAAAAAAAAAAGCAAATGGATTTTGGTAGAATTAGAATATGTCACAATTTTAAGTTGTTTTTTTTATTTCACAGTTATGCAATACTTTGCGCTTCATTGCACGAACTAAAATTAAAATCGGCATTTCAACGGCGTCGAAGTGACGAAATGCGAAAAAAAAAGTTCACCGGGTGTTAACACTTTTGCGAAGGCTTGTAAACGAATAAGTGGAGCCATTAAATACTGCTGAGTAACGCTGCTCTACAATTTCTTCCTCTCACAATGTTTTTTTGTGGATAATGATGAGATTAGGCACACTGCTGAAAGGAGAGCTATTACAGTCCTCAACTGGAGAACCTCGTCTCTCTCTCTCTCCCTCTGAGCGGCGCTGGACCGGCAATCAGCGCTCAACTACTTTAGGCGGCAAACGCAAAGTAGCTGAACAAACACTCGTGTGCGGCACACCCACGGTGCCTCTCGGCAATGATGACTGCAATTATCCAGCTGTTTAACCGGATCACAATGGGGGCCCACTACTGGAGCTGCACTCAGTGGAAGCGGTGGAAAGGGCTCCAGGGCGACGAAACGTGAGTGTTACGGTGAGTAGGAGCACTTCAACCGACACAAGGGCAACATATGCACATGTTGAGAGATAAAAAATAAATAAAAATAAAAAGAGCTAGCAAAACAACCCAAGTCAGCATATTTACACAGCAAAATTAAAAAGTGAAGTGTTAAAATGTATTTATTTTGTAATAGCGTATCATAATCTCACCCTAAAAGCGTTTGACCTTTGATTTGAGACGATTTATGAGATGTATTTTATATGTTTTATATGAAAGATGGCAGTAAATTTTGATTTTTAAAAGTCAAAGCACTTAAAGAAGTAATGATGCAATGCACTCTGAGTATCACACATCCATGTGAGATGCTTTGCTACGCACATTCACGCTTTTTCACCAATTATTGACCAACACAAAATCAATCTTAATCTCACCTCCTTGACATACATTTGTAAAGATCTCGGCAGCCTGTGACAGAAACACCCACCTAGACATTGTTGCAGACTGGCGTCTCGCCCACCTTCGCAGTGGCACACCCTGAAAGCAGGAACTGCGTCCTGCCAGACGATGTGCTCCGACACAGTAGTGCAAAAAGCCCCAGTCTGAAGGATCCTGATAAATGCGGCGCAGAGTCAGCAAGGCACTGGCCTGCAAACCCAGATCCCAGTTTGATGGAGCATCTGGCGGTGGCGCCAAGGCTCCACCCTGCAATGCAGCCAATCTGCTGCCAACACTGAAGACTCAGTCATTGTGGAACATTTCCAAGCTGGTCGGGTCAAGACAGAAGGTTTTACTGCACCTGATCGCCATCAACACAGTGAAAAACATAGTAAACAGATTTGTGTGTGTGTGTGTGTGTGTGTGTGTGTGATATTGGAAACTACATTGGCATTGTCAATAAGATGGTGCGTAACACAGCGAGACGCTCCACAGACATCAGCAGCTTTAATCTGAAACACTGACTGCTGCCCACGAATCCCATCACCTTCACCAAAACGCCGACGAAAGCTAATAAACGAGTGTGGGACGAATAAGGCGGACCACTTACAGGCCGTCACATCTCAAAACAAATCACACAAACTGCTCAGTTTTTACAGCACCTGTTACATGTTCATCTTTCAACCCCTCACCCCCTACCCTTCTGCCCTCCCAGCTTCTTTTACAGTAACCACCACCTGCCCCGCGCTGATTGTATATTATTTGAACAAGCACACACCAACCAAACAGAGCTGAACAAAGGAGGACGGCAGCAGGTGTTCCTACCTGTTCACTACTGCAGCAAAGACTGTAATAAAGGCTACTTAGAGAGAATGTCTGCAAAACATTATTTCCAAAAGAGTCGAGTTAAAACCTTCAGTGCTTCAGCATTTTTTATTATTATTATTTATTATTGTTGTAACAAAATGAAGCATACAACCTGCAGAGTTAAATGCCACTCACTCTTACTTATGTGAAGATCTTACAAGTTTGTTAGAGAACATCAGTGTTTAGTTTGAATGGCCTAGTCAAAGTCCAAACCTAAAAGCCAATTGAGAAGCCATGCCGGTTTAACAATTAGATGTCTTCTGAAATCAGAATAAAGTAGGCAGGATACAAATGCGTGGCAACATTTTCAGATTTTGATTTATAAAGACTTAATCCATGTATCAATTGACAAAAAAAAAAAAAAATCCAATGAAACACATCAAGATTTGTGGTTGCAATAGCATAATATATCTGCAAACTCAGAGATATTAGATTGAACCTAATAGACAGTAATTATTACTGGAAATAATTAGGTTTGGTCACGCAAAAAGTGACCAAACAGCCTTTGTAGTTCAAGAAACGGCTCACTTTTCTGAAAATTATGCACCAATTCCTTCTATGTGAAGTACGACTTTGTCTTGGTCTCACGCAGAATCCCCCCTCCCACCCATTAAATGCAACGAAGTTTGCGGGTTGCAGTTTGAATACTTTCGGAGGGCCCTGCAAACTTATCTCAACTTGAAACCGGCGCACACGGGTCAGTGAAAGGATGGCAAAACACAAGCGAATTCACAGAAGTGCGAGAAATTTTTTGCTGATTTTGGTGTTCTGCCACAGGCCGTTTCCCCTTCTGTCAGCCAGGTTTTGTTTTCGCGAGGGCCGGAGTGCTTCATGTCTAGGCAGGGCGCCAAGTGGGCTTAAAGCTATCAGATAAGCTCTCGTGATTATTAAGTCGATGCAGGTCGGGTTTGAGAGAGCAAGATTTTGGCAGAGGACATTTTTAGCAAAATCTATGAGCAAAATTCTAAAATTCTACTAAAAGTTTGAAATGTATTTTCCTTCTTCAGCTACAAAAATCTGTCATCTACCATGCCTGAGAAGGCAGCCTTAAAAAAACAAACAAAAAAAAAACACCATAATTTATTGTAGCTTATGTAAGCATATAAATGATGGATTACTTTGAGAAACTTCTGTCACTCCACTGAGTTACACTGATGGACACCAAAATGATGACTGTGCAAAATCCCAATCCTAATGCATTGCTCTGCATTAGGATGCAAGCACAAATCGCACATTGCTTGATGCCAAAAGGGTCAAATGTCATCCAGCCAGCGAGGCATTTTAATATGTCGCTTCTTTTTCTTGTCCATTACAAACAAAACATGTGGAACGTTGCCTTTAAACAAAAAGTATGTGAAAATAATGATCATGCAGTCTTGTACAAGTCGTGTCTGTTTGCAAGGAGAGTAGCGCCGAGTGGAAAAAAAAACAAAAGCGTTTTTATTAATCAATGTTGAACTATTAGGAAAAAAAAAAAACACATTGATTTTTGCACTTGTTTACCGTAATTTGTTTGGGTGCCAGAGCTTCCAGTTTAAGAGGGCGCCTGGGAAACGGTCAGAGGTACAATCCCTCTGACCGCAGAGCGTGTGTGGTTAGAGAGAATTGAAAAATCACAGCCTCTCCGCGGTGCATCAGAAAGCTGCTTCCATGTGCAGCAGAATGGTCCACGGCCTATTCCTACAGTGTCATTACAAAATGATATACCTTATCAAAACGCAGAGCAGTGGTGCTTTCACAAGGAAATTGATAATTGAATTTTTTTTTTTTTTTTTTTTTTTTCATAATCATCTCCACTGGTGTTAGAGCGTCTGCTCTTTTGATAAGAGAGCTGTCGGAACATCTATGCCTGTGACACATCAGCAGTGACTAAGCCTGTCTCTCCTGGAGTCTAAAGTGCCGGTTGAATAACTGGATTGAGCTCTCAAACGCATTGATGTTTACAGCGAGAGCTGCATTTACCTAATAAAGGCCAGACCTCTTCTAATCACTCAAAACCAAACATGGAAACCTGCTTTGCATTTAATGGATCGGGGAAGACGAAACCGGCCCCCGTTAAAAGGCCTGGCACATTTCTCACCGAATGCAGGCAAAACGGCAGGAGTCTCGTTAAGAAATACGAAATGTGTTTAGTTTAGGATTCGGTGTGACTCAACATCGGTGTGAATATTTATTTATTTATTTATTTCGAACATGATAGCAGCATAAAATATCAGACGTAAACAAGGAATGGAGAAGACATATTTTTTGCACCGCAATAATCCTAACATGCTCGAAAAGGAGTATGAAAAGTAAGAAACTTATGAACTCCTACCCCATAAACTCATAGCATGTTTTCAGATGGACCCTCATTAATAACTCAAATCAAAAATAAAAACATAGGTTAATTAATTTTCCATTTTATCTTTTTTTTTTTTTTTTTGCCATGGACTCACCAAACACACACATGTCTAAATATATATCATCCATACATCTATACCCACACACACTCATATGCGTTAGTCTCAATTTATATATTCATATTAGTGCTATCTCTCCCCCATATTTCTTCTGAAAATAACTTCCTTATATGTCCTGTTAAATTGTATTACATTTTGACTTTGTTTTTACTCCTCATTTAACTTGTTCTGTAATTTTACACCACAAATTGAAATACAAAAGCTCTTTCTTGTTGTGCGTTTACTACGAATCCTCAAGTTTGAATTTAAACCTCTTAAGTTACCTCTATCCCTCTTCTCTTTCAAAAAACATGCTTTATTTTTTTTAAGGTAAAGATTTACTGTAAGGGTTTCTGAAATAGGTTGTTGCACAATGTCAGATCTATGGAACTTTGGAGAAATGAATACACAGAGAGAGAGAAAAAAACACAGCAGCTTATTTAAATGAGAAACTATTACTGTGCATAATTCATGTGCCTTAATGCACAGCTGGATGTCTGTTGCTTACACTGTTAAGATTTATGAGCGCTTAGAGCTTCCTGCGATCTGTCTACAAATGTCTTTATCCCATGGCTATCAGTCTCTATAATAGAGTTATGCACGTTTACTTAATTACATTTAGGCAGACTGTTTTGAAAAAAAAAAAAAGATGGAACAGATTTGTCATTTTTTAAACGTAAAACATTTTGACAATGCAATTTTTGGTTAACAAATAGAATATTCCTCAGTTAGATACGCATAGGCAAGTATTTAAAGGGAATTTCCTTCTGAAACATACCACACTAGATTTGTTACCACAATTGTTAATTGGCTTGTTAGATCACCGGAGAGTGGCGTTCCCCATTTACTTTTCCTCAGCCAAACCAACATTTGTTACAGTGTGGTTGATTTACTGCCTCGGCAGGCTGTGACCACTGTATCTCCGTGTGACACGTCAAATGAATCTGATATAGAAAAAAAAAAAAAAAAAAAAAAAGGGAAATTGCAGGCTGTCAGACTGATTCAATTGTTTGCTTCATCGGCCACGCTCCGACTGTTCAAGTCAGTCGAAATTCTCTGGAGACTAATTTTTCTGTAAGAATTTTGACGTTCGTATCCGTTTTATTAGCGGGCTGTCAGATGGGCTGAGGGCTTTTCTGATGCAAGAGGTATATGATCCCTCTGAGACATAAATGAAGCAAGGAAGGATCCATGAATCCATCACAGTTTTGCTGTTGTTTCTGATATATGTTTCTCAGCATATACAAGATGGAAACTGGCCTTACTGCAGTAAATATCCTTTTAAATTTTAAT